AGAGTTCGGGTGGAAGATGTGAGGCTGAAATAAGGAGGCTGTGAGGAGGCCCAGTGGGATGGGGCCTACCTACAGGCCTGGAGCTGGAATGGAGGAAAGATCAGAGCTCACCGGCCCTCCTGAGAGAGGACCACCTGTATGGCAGGGAAGGAACAGCCCAGCTAATAGGCCTGGTAGCAGCCACCAATTCACAAGTGGTACAGGAGCAGATCTGAGTGAGTACACCTGCACCCCCTGGGCGGATAGGGGAAGGAGCACTCTGGTGGAAAACCAGATTAGCCATCTGCCAGTGACTGCTCAACTCTTAAGGTGACAGGAACCAGATCCCCTGTTCAGGGATATCTCCAGATTGCTGATTGATGAGGAGAAGTCCATCTAAGGTCTTGGGTGGTACAGTGAGGAGACCCTGGCTAGCTCTCCATCAAAAACTGTGCTGCAGAGGAGGCTTCTATATAGTTTCAGGAAGTTGTCCTCAGTCATCGGTACCCTTGGGCATCCCGTACACCCCTAACCCCATCCCAGTTCAAATCTCCTAAATAAAACAACAAAACCAAAGCCCAAGAACTGATTTCCGACTCTGGATGCAAGCTTTTATGAAGATGTGTGATGTCTGGTTGGGCAGGACTATAGGGGGACCCAAATCTTCTAGCGACTCCTAAGGAGAGGTAGTGCTACATATGGGTGCTGACTCATACCTGACGTCACTGCAAGAGGGGCTACACCGGAGCGCTATCTGATTTGCTGCAGCTTCTAATGCACATTATGAGAAGCTCACAGTGTGCAGTGAAATCAGAAGAAGCCGCTTCAGTCCAGGAGAGAGAGCCGATACACCTGTGAAAGACTGAAGGGGAGGAACCGGTACACCTGTGCAAGACTGAAGGGGAGGAGTGGGTACACCTGTGCAAGACTAAAGGGGAGGAGCCGGTACACCTGTGCAAGACTGAAGGGGAGGAACCGGTACACCTGTGCAAGACTGAGACCTGTGGACTGAAGAGCTAATAACACTGTGCAAGACTGAAGAGGAGGAGCTGGTACACCTGTGCAAGACTGGAGGGGAGGAGCTAATACAACTGTGCAAGACTAAAGGGGAGGAGTCGGTACACCTGTGCAAGATTGAAGGGGAGGAGCCGGGACACCTGTGCAAGACTGAAGGGGAGGAGCTGCTACACCTGTGCAAGACTGAAAGGGAGGAGCCGGTACACCTGTGCAAGACTGAAGGGGAGGAGCTGGTACACCTGTGCAAGACTGAAGGGGAGGAGCCGGTACACCTGTGCAAGACTGAAGAGGAGGAGCCGGTACACCTGTGCAAGACTGAAGGGGAGGAGCAGGTACACCTGTGCAAGACTAGAGGGGAGGAGTCAGTACACCTGTGCAAGACTGAAGGGGAGGAGCTGGTACACCTGTGCAAGACTGAAGGGGAGGAGCCGGGACACCTGTGCAAGACTGAAAGGGAGGAGCTGGAACACCTGTGCAGGACTGAAGGGGAGGAGCCGGCACACCTGTGCAAGACTGAAGGGGAGGAGCCGATACACCTGTGCAAGACTGAAGGGGAGAAGCCGGTACATCTGTGCAGGACTGAAGGGGAGGAGCCGGTACACCTGTGCAAGACTGAAGGGGAGGAGCCGGTACACCTGTGCAAGACTGAAGGGGAGAAGCCGGTACACCTGTGCAAGACTGAAGGGGAGAAGCCGGTACACCTGTGCAAGACTGAAGGGGAGGAGCCGGTACACCTGTGCAAGACTGAAGGGGAGGAGCCGGTACACCTGTGCAAGACTGAAGGGGAGGAGCCGGTACACCTGTGCAAGTCTGAAGGGGAGGAGCCGGTACACCTGTGCAAGACTGAAGGGGAGGCTGGAGGTCAGATTTAAACATAAAGATATAATAAATAAACACTGACGAGGAGATATTATAGATAAATGATTAAACAATCCTGTTTGGTCCTCTGTGGTCAATAAATAGATAAATGGCCATTTTTGGGAATAATAATTGTCCTTGTATGTCTCGGAATGAACTCTGCGGTGGTCTGCCGTGGAATCCCGCCATCTTTGATGTTTGTACGATGGAAATGAGAAAAAAAACATCGATGTTTATATACAACTTATGACTTCAAAAAAATAATAATGCCGGCTCCATATTAGAGATCTGGAAGGAATCTCCGGATTGTCCAACTTGTACACAAGGAGGACGCTCAGAACAGAGGATTTGTCTGTAGAACAAACAACGGCGGTCTGCAAATCCAGGGAACAGACCCAGTGATTAATACAATCAAGAAAGAGAAAAGAATAAACAGAAAACACATTGAGAGGATACAATCCGCCACCCTCACTCTTCATCCCTGAGGAAAATCAGACAAATCTGAGCCGAGTCCGGAAACACCAATCGTACCACGCCGAGAAAACGAGGAAATATGGAGGATCAGTCATTGGTGGCTTCTGGGGTGTCTATTCTTGTGAATGTATAATCTGCATTCTCTCGAGTCACCGCTCTCTAGTGAATAGATAGGTCATTCTCAGTGTCACTGCTCTCTAGTGAATAGATAGGCTGCATTCTTAGTGATGTCACCGCTCTCTAGTGAATGGATAGGCTGCGTTCTCAGCGATGTCACCGCTCTCTAGGGAATGGATAGGCTGCATTCTCAGCGATGTCACCGCTCTCTAGTGAATGGATAGGCTGCATTCTCGGCGATGTCACCGCTCTCTAGGGAATGGATAGGCTGCATTCTCAGTAATGTCACCGCTCTCTAGTGAATGGATAGGCTGCATTCTCAGTGATGTCACCGCTCTCTAGTGAATGGATAGGCTGCATTCTCGGTGATGTCACCTGCTCTCTAGTGAATAGATAGGCTGCATTCTCAGTGATGTCACCGCTCTCTAGTGAATGGATAGGCTGCATTCTCAGTGATGTCACCGCTCTCTAGTGAATAGATAGGCTGCATTCTCAGCGATGTCACCGCTCTCTAGTGAATGGATAGGCTGCATTCTTAGTGATGTCACCGCTCTCTAGTGAATGGATAGGCTGCATTCTCAGCGATGTCACCGCTCTCTAGTGAATGGATAGGCTGCGTTCTCAGCGATGTCACCGCTCTCTAGTGAATGGATAGGCTGCGTTCTCAGTGATGTCACCGCTCTCTAGTGAATGGATAGGCTGCGTTCTCAGTGATGTCACCGCTCTCTAGTGAATGGATAGGCTGCGTTCTCGGTGATGTCACCGCTCTCTAGTGAATGGATAGGCTGCGTTCTCAGTGATGTCACCGCTCTCCAGTGAATGGATAGGCTGCATTCTCAGTGATGTCACCGCTCTCTAGTGAATGGATAGGCTGCGTTCTCAGCGATGTCACTGCTCTCTAGTGAATGGTGATTCTCAGCGATGTCACTGCTCTCTAGTGAATGGATAGGCTGGTTCTCAGCGATGTCACTGCTCTCTAGTGAATGGATAGGCTGCGTTCTCAGTGATGTCACCGCTCTCTAGTGAATGGATAGGCTGCGTTCTCGGTGATGTCACCGCTCTCTAGTGAATGGATAGGCTGCGTTCTCAGTGATGTCACCGCTCTCCAGTGAATGGATAGGCTGCATTCTCAGTGACGTCACCACTCTCTAGTGAATGGATAGGCTGCATTCTCGGTGATGTCACCGCTCTCTAGTGAATGGATAGGCTGCATTCTCAGTGATGTCACCACCGCTCTCCAGTGAATGGATAGGCTGCATTCTCAGTGATGTCACCGCTCTCTAGTGAATGGATAGGCTGCATTCTTAGCGATGTCACCGCTCTCTAGTGAACGGATAGGCTGTGCTCTCAGTGATGTCACCGCTCTCTAGTGAACGGATAGGCTGCATTCTCAGTGATGTCACTGGTCATGTGGTGTGTCATTTTCTTAATTTGTGACCTCACTTCCTTCATTATTTGTTTGTTCATTAAATCATTTACCATTATCAGTTGTATTATTATTTATTTAGATTTTTTTATTTCATTCATTTGTATTTTTTTTATTCGTGGAATTGTTTTTCTTGTACCCTCCAATCACATGCAGACGTGATGCGTTGCGGTAGGATGTGCTGTATAGACTTATTACAGCAACGCATTGCGCTTCGTTTTATTGCCGAACAAACCAAAGCAGCACAGGTGTGAACAGCACCAGTTGACGGAATTTCCTTTGCTACTGTTTTGTGGTTGAGTTAGGCAACACGGCCCAAAGCACCCCAATGGATCTGCTGTGAACCAACCCTTTAAGCTGGCTTTTGTGGAAATGCATTATAATGCACACAACTGCCTATAAACTGTAAAATGCATTCAGAAATGCATACAATTTATACAAGCAAGCATCAAGAGCACCATCCATAGCACTATAAGGGGTCGTTCACGCAAGCTTTGGTCTCGGAAGGGTTTAAAACAGACCGTGATAAGGTGATACAAAATCTCCTCGCCGCCTGTCAAATGCTCTCTGAAGAGCGATTCAAATCTAGATCGCTCTTCAGAGAGCATTTGACAGGCGGTGAGGGGGTTTGTATCACCTTCTCATTGGATACAAATGGAGAAACAGAAAAAGGGCGCACCGACCTAGTGCATTATCGTTTAAAATAATTTATTAAAGAAACAAAAATAGGTATCATACTCACAACGGACATAATAACACAGGCATGTCAAACTGAACAAGATGTATGATCCAAACAACATCTGAGTCCATACGATGGAACCCTGGATGACCAACTGGCTAACGCGTTTCGAGGACACAACCTCTTCCTCAGAGCCAACTCACTGTCTGTTTTAAACCCTTGATTGTTGCACTAGCACACCGCAACCACATACAGTTGCTTGCTGAGCAGCCCAATTCATTTGAATGGGTTTAGTTTGGTGGCCGTAGCGCCAGGGGGGTATAATTCCTGCCGCGAAGCAAAGCATTGTGGCTGCAGCATGTTTGCAGTCCTGGCTGCTGCCTAGGGGGAAGGCATGTCTCAGCTGCAGGGCTTTACCACCCCCCAGCCACTACTGTGAATGAGCCCTACGACCAGGGGCGGACTGACAACTCATGGGGCCCCCGGCCAATAGGGGATCATGGGGCCCCTGTGTCCTTGCCCAAACTCAAAAAAGCCTATGAAAAAGGTACCAGGGGCATCTCATGGGGCCCCCTACTGACCCCGGGCCCTCGGGCAGTGCCCGAGTTTCCAAATGGTCAGTCCGCCCCTGCCTACGACTAGGATTGCCACCTCATCCCTTTAAACCCGAATACATATTATTTACACAGGTTCTGAGGCTAATTCACCCCCCGGTTCACAACTATGCGGCCATGCGGGCCGCGTTTTGCATGGGCATGAGAGCCCATTCATTTGCCTGTGACACGCAGGGAAGAAGTCCCGGCACTTCTTTGGAAAACGCAGCCGAGGTTCCCAGTACAGTTGCATTTTCCAGTGCGGGCGGCGTGCCTTTAGAAGTAATGGCACTTGCCCGCGGGTCTGCATTCCTCTGTGCGGGTGGTGCGGCTGCACGGATTTTCATGCAGATCCGCAGCGGCACCACCCGCGCAGATGTGAACCGAGGGTTAATGAACATAAGTGAGTTTAATGACCACCTTAATCAGCCAAAAAGCCTGTTTAATTAATATGTGTTCAGGTTTAAGGCTCGGTTCACGTCTGTGCAGTTTGCGTTTGATCCGTTTCTGCAGTGCGTTTTGTGTTGAGTTTTCGCACATGCATTTTTGATCCATTTTGCTTCTTTTTTTTTTCTTGTTGCTAGGCAACGCATAAAAAAAACACAGCAAAAACGCATAAAAAAATGTACTACCTGTTTTTCTGCAGCGTTTCCACTGAAGTCTATAGAACCAAAAACGCAACGTTTTGCGTTCAAAAGAGTCCCCGACCCTTTCCAATAAAAGCACCAGGGTGAAATCGCGAAGATGTGAACCTGTCCCATAGGAAATCATGTTAAATGGACTGTAGTGCGTTTCTGCAAAAACTAAAAACGCTGCTGAAAACGATCTGGGGTAAATGGAGGAGCTGGCAACCCTAAGGGCTTGTTCACACTTGGCTGTTTTACCAACGCTTGCCAAACGCCCCTATAGCGTTTGGCAAGCGTTGGTCCAGCGTTTGCGGAGCGTTTTTTAACACTCCGCAAACGCCACATGCGCGGTTCAGCGGCGGTTGCTAGGCGTTTGCCGAGCGTTAAAAACGCCCCACAAACGCCTATAATGCAGTTTGAATGATGTTACTGCTCCGCAAACGGCCTGCAACCGCGTCGCAACGAGCGGCACCATAGACTAGAATAGGAGGCTTCAACGCCTCCTGACTCAACCAGAGGCGTCCGTTTTGCCGCAACGCAATGCAAACGCTCCTGTTAGAATTGGCAGAGGCGTTTGGGAAGCGGTAAAAACGCTTCCCAAGCGCCTCTCTGCCGTCTGCACACAACACTAGTGTGAACGTAGCCTAACTAGGACAGATTATAAAACCCAGCCGCTGATGGCCCTGTGGCTTTTACTTTTGTTGCTTGCTACTTAATGCCAAAAACATATGTGACCCCTCAGAACCCCTAAAACTTGGGGCTTGACATTGAAAACGTGAAGCTGCAACAAAAATGTGGCCCTTGGATGAGGTTATTGGCTGCTATGGGCAGTAGCCCAGTCTTTCTCTCCTTACTTGCTCCAGTTTTCATAAATCAGCGCCCAATTCTGCACATTCATGAAACATATAAAATAAAAAGCACAAGAAAACATTTTTAAAAAAGGAAAAAGCACAAAGCAGTAATCAGTCATGTTCCTAATCAGCCCAGAGCATGAACCTTGAATTGGTTTGATGAAACCCCCAATCGATAGTTCTGGGCCACCTTTGCAAATATTGGGATCACCTGTGTGCATACCAATCCCTGTCCAATCAACTGGAAGCCCGGCCCTCTCTCCAGGGTATAAATCTCTCCGGTCAGGGCTGAGGGTCAGTATTGCAATTGATCATCCAAGATGGGTTCTTCTAGAGAAGGATTGAGCTTAGCCCTGCTTCTTTGCTGCCTCAGTTTGTCCTGGCCACTTTCTGGTGCCAGAGGACACTTTGATGGCTCTTCTAGTCTCCACTGTTCTCTGGATAAAATTGAATTGTCCTTTTCTATGCCTGTTGAAGGGGTGGCCTTTTCCATCAGAGTTTTGGGTAAGTCTTGTTTAAAAACTGCTTTAATTTGTAAATTCTTGGGGGGTGAAGGGTGGACATGGCTGAAAGTAGGGGTGGTTATACTAATTGGCTGGGGTAGCTATGGGGGTAGCATGGTGGATGGGGGCATGGGGATGGGGGTAGCATGGTGGATGGGGGGTAGCATGGTGGATGGGGGGTAGCATGGTGGATGGGGGTAGCATGGTGGATGGGGGTAGCATGGTGGATGGATGGGGGTAGCATGGTGGATGGGGGTAGCATGGTGGATGGGGGGTAGCATGGTGGATGGGGGTAGCATGGTGGATGGGGGTAGCATGGTGGATGGGGGTAGCATGGTGGATGGGGGTAGCATGGTGGATGGGGGTAGCATGGTGGATGGGGGTAGCATGGTGGATGGGGGGATGGGGGTAGCATGGTGGGGTAGGGGTAGCATGGTGGATGGGGGTAGCATGGTGGATGGGGGTAGCATGTGGATGGGGGTAGCATGGTGGGGGTAGCATGGTGGATGGGGGGATGGGATGGGGGTAGCATGGTGGATGGGGGTAGCATGGGGGGCATGGTGGATGGGGGGCATGGTAGCATGGTGGATGGGGGTATGGGGGTAGCATGGTGGATGGGGGTAGCATGGTGGATGGGGGTAGCATGGTGGATGGGGGTAGCATGGGGGTAGCATGGTGGATGGGGGTAGCATGGTGGATGGGGGTAGCATATCTCCAATAAGGATCCGTGGGGCTGACTTACTAAAAGTGGAGAGTGCAAAATCTGGTGCAGCTCTCCATAGAAACCATTGGCTTCCAGGTTTTGTCACAGCTTGAGAAGATGATTGGTTGCCATGCACAGCTGTAGCAGTTTCTGAGTGCTCCAGTTTTCTACATGGAGGGGTAGACTTCACAATTGCCTTAAGGTAATGACGAGCAGGATATCAATCCTATACAAATGTATTAATTGCAAATTCTCTATTGCCATGTAGTCCTGAATCAATTGAACCCTGACAAGTTTTGAGGGACTGTCTAGTCTCAACTCCAGTTGGAAGATGTCTGCAGAACTGGTGGCTGGATTCTAGATGTAGGGGGTTACAAATCTAGATAAGACTGCAAAGTGAGGGGCAGGTTAATTTGTCTAACTTGGCTTTGACATTCCCCCCCATGGCATTTCAAAGGCATGATGGTTGTAGCTTTGGAGAGGAACTATTAGAAGCAGGAGCTGTGCCGTCAGTCAGATCTGTTCATGCCAGCAGAGCATGGTGGTCATACTATATTTGTGCTACTATGGGGCTGGTGAATGGGATACTTGTTACGGCAGGACTAGACTCTTGCAGTCAAAGCTATATTGGCTGTATTTTAAAGCTGGGGTGTACACTTTAATGTTTTTAGTCTTGACAAAATTGACACCTCCCATAAGTTATGGGGCATCCTCACTCAGGAGAGGAGCCTTCTCAGCTATGTACAGTCTCATACATGCTTGAGCTAAGGGCATATGGATTCTGGGATGCCAGTAAAACAATCTGTCCTTTAAGATGGTCATAGCTAGAGGGGGGTGGTGTGTGTGTTTTTTTTTTTTTTTTTTTTTTTTTTTTTTTTGTAATTCTCCAATTAAAACATGGAGATAGAGTTGGGGGGGGGGGGGGTTGGTTTTTAAAATTGATGGCACTGTCAGTCTGTGCTGATAAAGGTTTGTATTAGGGTGGACTGACCATTCAGACACTGGGGCACTGCCCAGGATCAGTAGGGAGCCCCATGAGATGCCCTTGATACCTTTCATAGGCTTTTGAGTGTGGACAAGGAGACAGGAGCCCCATAATTCCCTATTGTCCGGGGGCCCCATGAGTTCAGTCTGCCCCTGGTAAAATGTTTACTAGGACTGTCTTACACCTTGTGCTGTTTGAGCTGACTGGTGTAAATCTGCCTTCAAAAGTTAAGCTGGTGTTTTTTGTGACCATGTCTTAGTAGACATCTTTAACTTTTTTTTTTCCATTCTTTTAAAGATTTCCAGGATGAATTTCAGATTTTTAGCAACGACTCTGCTTGCGGGCTCTGGGTAGGACAAGGACCCAATAACACAGTGGTGGTTGCTGCTGCTTATGATGGATGTTATGTAAGAGAAGAGGTAAGCTTGTCAAACCTGACATTTTGTCAATGGGCCAACTGGATTTTCCAGCTGTGGAATTGTTCCAGTAGAATCCCAAGAAACTATAACCAAACCTAATTATGTTAATGCATTCCTTAGGTGGACACAACCAACTCTTCAGACTGAGTTGCCCCAGTCTTTTTTGCACTCTGTCAGCACTTAAATGGCCATATCCCATGCTGGTGACCATTGGCACAAATGCTCACCAGCCACTTTTTAGGTACACCTTGCTAGTACTAGGTTGGACCCTACTCTTGCCTTCAGAACTGACTTCCTTCTTGGATTCAACAAGGTGTTGGAAACATTCCTCAGAACTTGGTCCATTTTAACAGTTCACTGTGGCCATATCTCAAATCGGTCTGCCCGTTCTCCTGACATCAAGGCATTTTCATCCACACACAACTGCCACTTGGTGGTTTTCTTTCAGACCATTCTCTATAAAACCTAGAGATGGTTGTGCATGAAAATCCCAGTAGGTCAGTGCTTTTTGAAATGCTCAGACCAGCCCATCTGGCACCAACAACCATGACATATGCAGTCACTTAAATCCCCTTTCTTCCCCATTTTCATGCTCCGTTTGAATTTTAGCAAGTCCTCACCTAAAAGCAGAGTTGCTGCCATGTGATTGGCTGATTAGCAGTTGTGTTACCAAGCAATTGAACAGGTGTAGCTATTGGAGATTATGGATCATTAGAGTTGAGAAAATTGATTGTAACGCTAACTTTGTTGTTCTTAGGATGGTGAATATATGATGGTTCTCCTTCTGGAAGAAATTGATGATGGTGTAGTTGACCAATACAAGGCTGAGAAGAGATGTCCAATCCAGAATGGTGATCAATTTAAGTTTTCTAAATGGGAATACTCATGGCATGGTCCCCTGCTAGGAGCACCATGTAGCTTGTGCTTCATTACTGGGGAGGTTTATTGGGACAGAAGGGTAAATCGCATAGCTTCTAACTTTCCTTTTTTTGCATTTCTATGCATATTTCTCACTGAAATGCATGTTAAGCTTTAGTTTCTTGTTAGATGCTCTGGATGCCCCCAGCCGTGATGTCTGCTCTGCTGTTACTCAAGGGGACAAACTAGCCTGTGCTGGAACACCTGTAACAAGCGACGCCTGTGCAGCGATGGGATGCTGCTACTCCCCAAGTGATTCCACAAAGCCCTGTTTCTTTGGCAATAAGTGTAAGTAGGATATTGCTTTCTACACACTGATGGGTAGCAGTATCAGCCTGAACATGCCTAGGTCTAGCCTAGTGGCTGGCCGTAACCTATTTGTCAGGTATAGTTGCTAGCACCTTGGCATCGCTAAAGCACTTCAACTTGCATTTCCTAATTTAAGGGTGACGTTATGCCCAGTATAGACATGTACTTGTTTAAATTGATAAATGGGATTTACCCAAGTCTTGGCATTTTATATTGGACTTGGCCATGTTTTTCCAGGCTGACAACCCTCCAGGTGTTCAAGACTTTCTATGGTCCATCCTGTATAATTCCACTTGGAACAAATGTTGGGTGGATTAGACTATTCAACAAAATACTGCAATATCAATGACTAGGTAATTGTATGTCTAATCTACATGGTAACAACCCAACTTTTCCTTTCTGCAGTGACCACACAGTGCACATTGGATGGCAACATGGTGATTGCAGTGTCCAGTGATCTCACCATACCATCTCTACATCTGGACTCGGTCAGGGTGATTGGATTGGACTCCTGCACTGCGCTGACAGTAGAGAACACCAACTCCTTTGTCGTGTTCAGGTTCCCATTGTCCTGTAGCACAGCAAATCAGGTAGGTATTGCAGTACAGTCTGGATATACAAGTCTGACCCTCAAGCAGCTAGGACTAGACCTGCCATTAAGCCTGATCCTCATTGGTGCTAGCAAGGCTAACCTCTTGTACATGTTATGCATATGATGTCTAATGAGACATTAGGACTGATGCTTGCAGGCCACATTTTGATAAATTGGGAAACATGGCTGCAATTTTAGTCTTGGCTGAGATCTCACTTGGTGGTGAATTGGTTTACCTATTGCACAAAATGGTATTGCATCTTCAGGCTCCATGCATTCTAGCATTTAAAGTATAACCAAAGGCAAAACGTTAAGTTTTTGGATGGTAGAAAGGGATTAGAACCCCCTCAGGTTTTCATTGCAGTCTCTGCCCCATTAGGCAGAGTACCCCTCTCGTCCTGCTTTACATTTAGAGTAAAGAATCTCATTGGAAGATTCCCCCTCTTGCTTTTCTGGGGACACTAGTTCTGGTGACCTGGGAGTCCCCAAGGAATTCCCTTTGCAGGGATTTCCTTTTTATGGCTATGGGACTAGAAGTAAAGGGAAGTCTCCTTTATAAAACATGTTATAACCCTACTTTACTCTATCCAAAATGGGGGAAGCTTTTTTGTTTCCCCTAGAGTTCTACAGTAATCTCAAAAGCTGGTTAGTGTTGGCATTGAGTTTTTACAGCACATAGGGGGGCCATTAAAAGTATTCAGCATTTTCTCACAAATCCCTCCCAACAGTGGTGGGGACAAGGTTGCCTAGTGTGAAGATGCAAAATGGCAGTGTGTAAACATTGTCACTTAATAATTTTTTTTTTTTTTGTCAATTCTCCCTAAAACATACTATCTTCTAGTTCAAATTTATCTCCCCTCCTAGCACCAGTCCTCTACCTTCAAATTTCCCTTTTCTAGCCCAAATCCTTCCCACCAAATCACTCTTCACATAAATCCACCCTTCAAGAATAACCCTCAATCTCCAACTGCACCCAGGGCAGCCACCCCTTGTCCTAGCCCTGCCACCCAAAAAAAGCCTCTTCCTAGAAGCTTTAACTTTTGGCCTACAGTAGTGTACATGGACATACAGATGACACTTCTCTTCTATTGGCAGGGGAGCTTAAAGCTAGTGTCAGAATATTGCCACCTTGCATCTAAAGGTCATTGCAGTCCAACATACAAGAGCTGGCCAAAGATCACTACATGACTTGGTAGGGGCAGCCATTTAAATTTCATGAATGGCATGGCTGTAGATCACACTATTGACTTAATAGGTACTGAAAGTTGTACTGCACCATTAAGCCACCTGCTGTGGTTATCTAAAACATTCATAACAGACACTTCTGTGGGGTTCTGGTGTACAGAAGGCCACCATTTTGTAATCCAACATCTTGGTAGGTATTGAATGTGCTACTGTAAGTTGCAAGGACTTTAGGTGGGTGGCATTGCTTTTAAAGTTCCAAACCAGGATATGCAGACTGAGCTTTTGACTTTCTTTTTTCACCCAGGTGCCCAACGGTCCAATGAGCTATAGGGCTACTATTGAATCTAGAAGACAAATACAGACATGGAGGGGATCTTCTATCACTAGGGACAGTACATTGAGGTAAGATGCACAAACCTGTCACAAATGTTGGCAAGAACCATTATCTAATACATTACTATTTCTCTAGGGTGACTGTGCAGTGCAGCTTCCTTCAAACTGGTATTGTTCCACTGCTGAACTTTACGGTGAACACTTTGCCACCACCTCTTCCTGTTAGTACATCTGGTCCTCTTGAGCTGGAGATGAGGATTGCACAAGGTGAGAATATAAATGTTCAGAATGCTAAAGGCAGGCTCATGCTTTCACTAGTGTTGGTACAGAGCACCCAGATAGCTATTACAAATCTCTAATGTACTAATTACATGACTTTGCATGGCCCTTTGGTTGTGGCCCTCTGCAGTATAAAAATGACTTTGGTTTACCTAGGTATTGTCCAGACTACCCATCCATTCACTCAGTGAGTGACTGATCCTGCAGCCACCTGGGATATCAGATGACCTATCCTCATATCCCAGGGTGCCTTACTCCATACAGCAGCTAGAGATGGCAAAGCTGTCTTTTGGGTGTATGGCAGCTGTCTGAACCTGGGAGACAGCTGGGCTTATCTCAGCAGTAGATGAGGACATTAAGTTCCCAAGTATGTCTAGATGGATATGGCAGCAACAGGTATAGCAGTTGTAGGTCTGAGTCTTTTCCTGCATCATAGCCAGGCACACATGCATGTTCACTCTTGGCTCAATTAGGTCTAAGGTGGCTTTTGATGTCTTAAAGGGTTGAACTTGGATGGGGATTAAAGAATGAGTTACTCCAATAACTTGCTGTAAAACTTGAGGACACAATTTAAAAACTACTACTGTCCCAGTGTAGTAGATGGACAGATTGGAGGTATGGTATTGAGGTTGAGCCTTCCTTTGCCAAGCGGCTTTGTCATTCCCTTTTTGAAGGGGCTGTTGACTAACAGTTGCTGTAGCATGCATACAAGGGTGATAGTCTCTAAAATATCACTGATGCCTCAGGAAAAGTTGCCTCCTACCAGTATCCTGCAGGCAGTCTCTCCCCAGTAGATCATCCAGACAACAGCCTTTAGCAGCATACGTTGGCTCCAGGCCCACCAGCCTGGGCCTCCACTTGAAAAGCTCATGGCAGCAGTGCCCAGTGGGGGCAAACCAACCCCTAGACATTCTTCCCTTTATGAATTCTGCTCATTTCAAGGTTATCTATGCTTTCTCCCAGAATCCTCTGGGCCAGGGATTTGTTGGTGCTACATTAAGGTTGCCCCCTAATTGCTTTAACATCTAATGCATATTACACAGGTTCTAAGCTTAACTTATTGCAGGTAAGGCAACAACTGGGCTGAATTACCACCTCAATCAGCCATAGAACCTGTGCAATTCATGTTTGGTTTTAAGGAATGAGGTGGCAACCTTAATCTACATTGAGCTGCTGACACCCTCCCTTGCTTGCTCTAACCACAGCTCCTCCAGGTGAAGAGTAAGCAAACTATCATGCAGCCTCTGGACCAGACCTAACTCAACCCAGCTCCACTGGTTACAGTAGCCCAAGACTAAATTTTACCTACTTAACCCAAAAAGTCAAGCTTCAATCTAAATTTACATTGGAACAATTTAATCCCTTGACTACAATAGGCTCAAACTTTTTTTTCTAACTAGAAGGGTGCTACAGATGACAAGATGTATGGGGGTATGTTCTGAAACCCTGCTATGGCATTAAAGGTGGTCATACAGGATCTTAACTTATCAGTATATAACATATTGAGCAAGTGACTCCTAGGACTGAAGCTCTGCAGCCAGAAGGCAGTCTATCCTTTTGGTATTTGTGATCAGACCAGAAAAGCTAGGCTCCCTCACCAGTCTACTGACCACACAACTTGCTAACTCAATCTGTTCTCTGCCCCTGTGAATTTCCTATCTGCTCATGGTCTTCCCTCAGTTTAGACTATCAAAAGCGTTCTTTCTACCCCCCCCCCCCCCCCCCCCATATCAGTAGGCCATAGTTTAGGTTTTTGGACATGGTGATGGTGCTCATGGTTTGACTAGCATAGTTGAAGTACAGGGTATCTTCTCTTGGTTGCTGGATATAACATGAATGTGTGCTCCTGGGGCAAGGCTTTGCGCTGAACTTCTAGATGTATACCATATGAAGGACATGACAACAGCTTGGACATTTTATGTATTGCCTGTTCAGAATATTATGAAGTGGCATGGATCACAATTGTAAGGTAGGTAGTGCTTACATCAGCTGCTTGTTCTCCATGTGGGGAGGGCAGGATTGTTAATATGCCAGCTTCTGGGAATTTAGTGCTAGGTGGGCCCAAGCATGACCTGACAGTTAAAACTTGTACAAATCTGGTTTTGGTATACAACTCTTATCTAAACTCTTCAATGTAAAGGAGATTACTGCAAGAATTCCTCTGGTAGTGTAGGTTCCTTATGTCAGGCAAAGGTAACCTAACCCTAGCAAAAGTCCTTCAAGTGTCCCTGAACCCAGCCATTTTTCTTCAACTTGTTGCCCTACATATGTTATGTAATACAGGTCTCGACTATGCTTCATACTACACTGAGCAACAGTACCCTGTGGTCAAAGTGCTCAGAGAACCAATCTACCTGGAGGTCCGCATCACCGGCAGATCAGATCCAAACCTGGTCCTTGTCTTAAATGACTGCTGGGCCACCAACTCTGCAGATCCCTCACGTCGTCCTCAATGGCCCATCTTGTTTGACAGGTGGGTTTATAGGACAGTGGTATCAAGTCTGTCTTATTTGTGCGGACTCTAAATCTTTTCATGGTTTCAGGTGCCCCTTTAATGGAGACAACTACATGAGCCAGCTGATTCCTGTTGGAGCTCCTTCACAGGCTGTAGCTATACCAAGCTACTACCAGCGCTTTGTGGTCAGCACTTTCACATTTGTGGACTCCACCACCCAGCTTGCCCTTGGAGACCTGGTAAAGTAATGCAGCTTATCTCTTGGCATAACTTTTTTTATGCTTTGCTGTGGTTAAACTGTACAAACTTTCCCACAGGTATACTTCCACTGCAGTGCTTCTGTTTGTGTTCCATCTGCCATGGACAGCTGTGTGGCTTCTTGTGGTCCAAGGAGAAGTGAGTATTGGTGTAAACATTTTTTCATACAAATTTTAAACCCTTAAAGGGGAAACTTCTAAGCTATTGAAAAGAACATCCAAGGAATCTAAACTTGCATTCTTATCTTAGGGAGAACAGCTGAACTTCAGTCTTTGAAGAAAACAGTGACTTCCCAAGGACCTGTTGCTTTTGTTTCTGTGGATGAAGAAACTCTGAAACTGGAAGGTAACAAAACTGAGATTGGATGTGGGATTGCTTCAGTTGAGATCAAAGACTGACTTTTTTTTTTTTTTTTTTTCCCCCTCCAGGTAAAAATCCTTCAGAATACTCAACATTGGACCTAGCGAGAGCACTGGTGACTGCTGGGGTTGTTGGGTCTGTGGCTGTTGCTGTTCTAGGCTTGTGGATATACTGCAGGAGGCAAACCTCTAACATTAAAATTGCAAATGTTTAAATAAACAAACATATTTTTCTAAAATTTCTCTTCTGGCTTTATTCCCTCCATGGTTTCAGAAAGACCTAAACATATCTGCTTTGTGGCTTGTAGCTGGTCAAAAATGGCTGCCACCCAAATACTAGGAACATATTCATCTACTGAAGACCCACTAAAAGGCTATGCATATTTGTCCCAGGTTCTATTCTAAGCTGAGTGCAAAGCAGCCAGGCACCACAGCTCCCAGTCTCATCACAATGACCATCAGTGAGTCTAGGGTTTCATGCTCATTAAATTTGAGGTTCAGGGTAAGACTTGGGATACTTCAAACTTTAGTTGCAAGTGTCGTCTGCTACATTTGTGCACTAGACTCTAGGGCAGCTCCCTTCTGGACCAGTAATAGGACTGCTCCTTTGCTTGGTGTGAGCAGTTACCCAAGTCAACAACTCTAAAGCAGATGTGTTAAGGGTTAAGCAGCAACACTAACCAGATTTTTCACTCTGTCTATGGTCCCTCAAATGCCAGACTATAGACCACTTTCCCTGTGAGCCTTTAGACTAGATCCTCTGAGTTGGCTCTGGCTCCACTCAGAAATGGGCCCCAGATCTCCTGGATATGGGACCTCAAAGTCCTACAGACTTGGCTAATATGCCTGGGAGGACAGCAGCCCTTCAGGCTGGGTGATCTCCTCCTAGAAGAACCCTGCTGCCCAGGCTACTAACCCCTTAATATAATCTACTAGGCATTCTTGCCCATGGCAATGTCCAGTGTACAAACCTCACTCCCTAATCTTGGGAGGGTCTCTGGCAGAGGACTGGGGTAAGCAAGGACAGGGACTTGTTCTGCCTAGCACCAAGTGCCTTCTGGCCTCAGACTTGGTAGTTTGTAGGTTTCCTATTGTGCTAGGTGGTACAGGTGGACATCTATCTTGGGACACAATTGCATCTCAATGGCAACATGTGCATCCTGACTTTTTTACTGCACCTCTAGGTTACTTCTGTCCCTGCTTGAAGGTACAGAAAACTGCCAGAAATGGCACTTAAAACCTCGTCATTTGCTGCACTAATATTGCAGAACATGGTGGTTGGCTCAGTTAATGAACTGTAAAATACACCCCTTCATCTCAACATGCCTTAAGCCTGGTACATGGTTAAGTGGTGTGGGCTGAATGTAGTGTTAGCACATTAGGTCCGTGGGGAGATTGCTCTAACGACCAGAACACACTGCTCAGCCATTGCCTGCTGGTTTTCCAGCATGCTCATTTGACTGAGGCCAGTCCTGAAATCAGCTTCTGTCCAACTCACCAACTTTTGGCCTGATTGTCTAATGCAGGCCATAGATGAGGCAAAAACTGGGATTGGGTTTTTAAAAAAAAACAGTTGGCCAACATTGGTAAAAAAATCAGCTGATTTTCAGCTCATCTACAGTGAGCAAATATAATACTGTCCTTGTAGAGAGCTCTGCTACTTTACATTTAAAAGTATATCAGTTGCAACCTTGTATCCAGTTTGGATACAGATGTTTCTATTCAGATACAATGTTCCAACTGCTAAACTTTTAAATGTCAAAAGCAGAGCTCTCTACAAGGACACTCCACTATTATGGTTCACATTTAAAAGTGTCTTCCTTCTTGCAGGTCACAGCTCATGCATGTTCTTTTTTTTTGTTTTTTTTTTTTTTTTTTAATTGGTAAATCAGCTGATTTAACATCAGTTGCTGTGAAAATTGGCCAATCAACAAAATTGGCTTTTTCCCAACATAACCAAGTGTCAATCACAAACCAGCCAACCAATTAACCCACTAACAATCCAAAAATCATCCAAATTTTTCAACCATTCTATGGCCTGCATAACAGCTGACTTCAGCCAATATTTGGCCTACGTATGGGGCTTTAGTCAAGAACTGGGTGGCTTGACTATAGATGTCTTGAGAATTGAGTCCTGTGCTCAGAATATGTTATAACTGTTATATTGACAGTGAGAGGGCTATGCTGCAAGCTAGTGGCAACAATCCTAGAAAAGCCTACTGTGATGTCTCCCAATTTCCATGTGTTATATGGAAAGCTTGAGTTGGGAACAGTCACCTATCCAGTATGCAAGGGAGGACTGACCATTTGGAAACTTGGGCATTGAGATGCCCCTGGTACCTTTTTCATAGGCTTTTTTTTTTTTTTTTTTTTTTTTTTTTTTTTTTTTTTGGGCAAGTACACAGGCCCCATGATTCACCCCCCCCCCCCCCCCCCCCCCCCCCCCATTGCCCAGGGGCATCATGAGTTAGTCCACCCCCTGCCAGTAAGAATGGAAGTTTGTGGGAAATGGCACTTCCTGTCGAGATTTGACAATTGCCATACCATAGAGTAACATTAATAGCTGGGTCTCACTATTAAACATTAAATCTTGTAAAACTAACGAGGCCCATCCAGGTATGTGCAATGTACCTGCACCATGTGTGTGACTTGGGTTCAGATTTGGAAAAAACAAGCGCCCCCCCAAATAGCTTCATTTTGCTCCCACTTAAGGGCTTAAAGTGGTTGTGAAGTCTCAAGGTTTTATGCATTCCATGTAGTAGGGGTAGACAGCGCATAGGGGCCCTGGGCAATGGGATATCATGGGGCCCCTGTGTCCTTACCCAAACTCAAAAAAGTCAATAAAAAAGGTACCAAGGGTATCTCATGGGGCCCCCTACTGACCCCAGGCACTCAGGCAGTGCCTGAGTTTCCAAATGGTCAGTCCACCCCTGGTAGTAGACCCCCTAACACTTACCTGTGCCCAGTGATGTTTTGATTTTGTGCTGCCCTAGGCCCCCCCAATGTAGAGACCCTGACACTAACACCACCCTCCCCCCCCCCCCCCCCCCCCAAAGCCTGACAGACCTACAACACCCCAGCCCCCCACCTGAGAACCTACCACTGCCCCATACACCAAGCAGCCCAGTCATTTTAACATAATTTTACATATATTTGTATTTTTAAAAACACACAATATATTTGAAATGTATTTTTAAACATTTTTCATATTTTAAAATGTTTCAACATGCAGTGTATATCTATTGAAATATATTGAATACAGCCAAAATTGTAGCATTTAAAATATTTTTCCATATGGGGAAATGACTCCAGTTCTTACCAATAGCAATGGAGGATTACTATTTATTTTTTTGTCTTGCAAAAAAATAAGATACACCAGGGGTGGACTGACAATTTGGAAACTCGGGCACTGCCCAAGAGCCTGGGGTCAGTAGGGGACCCCATGAGATGCCCCTGGTACCTTTTTTCATAGGCTCTTTTGAGTTTGGGCAAGGAAACGTGCCACATGATCACCTATTGCCCGGGGGCCCCATGAGTTGTCAGTAGGCCCCTGGGATACACCCATAACGCTGGATTCAACATCTGAAGAGTTAAGCTGCCTGTGGCTGGTGTCAAGTCGGTAGGTGTCAAAGTATTTTTTCTAAAAAGAATCCTCCTACCACTAGTGCCACATACCCTATTCACACCGTGATAAAATCAACAATTAATCCAAATAATCAGTGTATTACCACATATATACTCTATTTGTAAGTGTCCAATGTCTTATATTCCAAAAATTACAAGAAAAAATAAAAATAAAATGTCCCACTCAAAATCATTCTTTTTGTATTGTTTGAAGATCCTCACAAGTCGGCTTCCACACAGACCCTCAAAGTCAAAAGCTCAACATAGTGCATTACCATTAAAATATATAGCACTCCATATGTGTTTTATATAAGTGCAAAAACGTGAGAAAAAAAACAACCACAGCAACTTGTGTCACAACAGCGAGGTGTTACACTCCGTGTATTCACTACAATGGTGTCTGAATTCTCATGCTTATAGATTATATACCCTTACCAGAGAACAAATCTCAAAATCGTTGTAAGGTGCAATCTAGGGAAGTCCTCAACACTATTCAGCCTCCTTGTCTCCACTCTCCAATCTCATCCCCTCCTGGTATCATCAGCCAGTTCCCTGGTCACTCAGATCCACGCAGGATGTATGAGACAGTAATAGTGTAAATCCGCAAAATATCGTTAATATATACTTTAATATATCTGCTTACATGAATGTAATAACAATCGCGCATTCCAAGAAAAAACCCCACTGCCTGGGGATTGCCACGCAGCTCCTAGTGTGAATAGTGTTGAGGACTTCCCTAGATTGCACCTTACAACGATTTTGAGATTTGTTCTCTGGTAAGGGTATATAATCTATAACAGTGGTTCTTAACCTTTTTGGAGGTACTGAACCCCACCAGTTTCATATGCGCATTCACCGAACCCTTCTTAATTGGAAAAAAATAAAATATGATTTTTAAAATTCAAAACATAGGTATATATTTTATACATAGGTGCACAAAATGAACAAAACCATTAAGAACAAAGAACAAAACCATTAAAACATGATTTTCACACAAAAACAAAATAATGAATATTTACCGCAAATCAGTGTGACTTCTGCTGTTGTCTTTCAGAGGCCAGTTCAGAAATGCGTGGCATTACCTTGGCAAGTGCCACTCTCATGTCATTTTCGCAACAAAGTCTGTTCCTTTTCTTCGTCTTTATGTCCAGCATCCTCGAAAAGGATTGCTCGCAAAGATATGTTGTAACAAACGGTATGAA